GGGACCGACTGCCAGCCACAGAGGTACAGCCAGGGCAGCTTTTCAGTGTCACACTGACTAGGTTCCCTCAGGAAACAGAGCTGAGCTTAAGATGTTTTGGGGTCAGGAAGGGTGTGTGTGATCACCCGCTATATGATCTTATAAGGGCAAGCTTCAGGTCCCTTGTTTATCAAATAGTTGAAATAACTCCTCCCATGAATTTGAGTGAAGACAGGCAGAGGAGTTCTGGAAAGCAGTCTGCAGGATTTGGACTTTAAATATTAGTTCCCACCAGCTTTGACTTGGCAGAATTAGTCACACCCTGTTAATTCACCCATTGTTTTCTCAGGGGGCCAATGAGATGACTCAGTGGGTAAAGGCACTTACCACCAGGTTTGATCCAAGTTTGACCTGAGTTTGATCCCTGGAACCCATATGGTAGAGAGAGAGAACTGACTCCTGTAAGTTACCCTCTGACCTCAAATACATGCCATGACATGCCCAAATGCACACAAATAAGTATTTTAAAAAACAAAGTGTTTTTAAATCAGTATACAGACTTTAAGTTATGTTCTCCAGTCCTATGACAGAAACTGTATCTGGAATGTTCTCTTGACAGACATATTTTTAAAAGTAAAGACTTAACAAGGGGCTATCTCTAATATTCTGGCTTAAGATATTGAGATATTTGTGTTAAAGTGTGATAATGTGCTCCATTATAAATGAGTTAAAAAGAGAGATTACGATTGTTCTTGCTGTACGTGTGAGACTTTCAGTTGTGGGTGAAATGGAAGACATTGAATATTGAGTTCCAAGATTAGAATTCTAGGACCATTGAATAATAATATGTGAACAAAATTGGAGAGTACTGATGCAAATACTGGCCTGTATTTATTTCCCTAGGGCAGATGGCAGCCACTGTGGTGGGTTATCGGGATAACACCTGTTAGGTCCTAAGCTAGACCCCAAGGAAGGCTGGTCAATCAGAACCTTTTGAGGATGGCAGAATCTACAGAGGCCACTGTCCCTTGGCACAGCCAATTTCAAGATTTCAGGTGACACACGTCTGGGGAAAAGAGCTGAGTGAAAAACCTTGATCTTCCTTTTTATCTCATTGTCTGTTTGAGGGAAAATGTGAAATTTTTGACTTAAGTTATTCTTTCCTGCTAATAATATTTGCTGAAGTTTCTCAGAAAATTCCCTATTTTTACATGGTTCAATTATTTATTTGACTAAGTAAGGTCTGTGTTAGTGTCAGGACATGTTGACTAAAAGAAAGCCTCTGATTGACCAGGTAATCCTCACATGCTACCTGTGCCCTTAAATCCTGAGTGTGGTGCTCATGGTGATAAACCCCTACCACCATGAAGTACAAATGGCAAATATTCTACTCAGTTTTAATCCACATCCACTCCATCTCACAGATAGTAAAATGGAGATTGAAATGTTTCTTACAGTGACGTCTCCAGATACTTGGCTTTGATATACTCCCAGGTATAATTTTCAGGTATATTCCTGTAATTGTGTGTGGTCTCGTGATGAGCAATGCCAAAGGGAAAATTAGCACTTTAATTAGTAAAACATAAACATCTAGTTTTTATTGTTAATGCCTCATTTAAGACACATTTTTTTGCTAATTAAGAAATGTATTCCTGGGGACATCAACCTAGACCCACTGAAGAGTCAGAGAAGCTTCAATTTTGTATAAAAGAGGTTATGTTTTCATTTATTTGCTTGATTTTCTTGAAACTGGGTCTCATGTGGTCCAGGCTGGCCTTGAACTCCTGATCCTTCTGCCTCAGCATCAGATTACTGAGATTCCAGGTATGTCCTAATACATCCTCATATTTATTAATTTGTTTATCTTTTATGAGACTGAGGATTGAACCCAAACCTTGCATATACAAGACAAATGATAAATCACTAAACTACATCCCCAGCCTGTTCCTTAACTTTTATTTTGAGACAGAATGTCACTAAGTTGTCCACTTTCACTTTGAACTCACTGTGTATTATTACAGCAGGGTGGCCTTGGACTCACAGTTCTCCTGTCTCTGCCTTCCAGACAGCTTGGAATGCCAGTATAAGCCACCATGGCTAGATTTGTTTTTTAAATCTATCATCTATCTACCTGTTACCCATGTGTCTATTATCTACCTACAATCTATCATCTGTCTATCTATAGTCTATGTATTGCTCTTCTAAAATTCATCTGTCTATCTATTTATCATGTACCTATCAGTTGTCTACCATCTTTCATTTATCCATATTCTATCATCTATTTATCTATCATTTACCTACCTACCCTACCCACCTATCTAACATCTACTTATCTGTATCTAACTATAATTGATGTATTGTTTCTCCATCATACATCCATCTATTTATCTATCATCTAAATATCCTCTGTCTATATATCATCTATTATTTATTTATCTATCATCTTTCTATTTATTTCTATTATCTACATGTCTAGCATCTATTTATTGTCTATCATGTATCTTTCTATCATCTATATATTTATGTAATATCTATCTATCTATCTATCTATCTATCTATCTATCTATCTATCTATCTATCATCTCATTTTTACATCCACAGGTTGTCTGGCTACAGAGGAAAATATCTGTAGCTGGTCTGAAAATGTTCCTGTTATCAAGCAAACAGTCCTTGAGAATTTTCATTCTGATTTGTTCTTCCTGGTCCTTCACGTACTAAACAGGCTTGTCCATAATGACAGGACTAACTTCACAAGACTTCTACCCAGAATTTCATTGATCAAAATGCTGTTATGTTTATGGTTCCTCTGGGAAGGTCCTGGCACTGTCTTTCTGTGCCATAAGATGTATGACATGGTGTGGGTTTCTTTAGAGTCACAGTGGGGAGGCTATAGGGGAGCTTGCTCACTGATAATTCTTAGAAAGTTTCAGCCTCTCACCCAGTCTTTGTGTCCTGCATCAGTGTGGACATACCCAAAAATTCCTTCTGCCCCACCCCAGCCCATGTCTCCTCTACTCACACAGAGCCAAGCCTGAAGACAGAAGACCCCACCAACTACACTCACTGCTCTGCCCCAGTCACTCTGAGCCTCACTATCAAGGACAAATGCTTTTGGGTGAGGGTGGAAGGCTCTGCTCTGTCTGTATCTTTAAGGTGTCTCCCTCCCTCCCTCCCTTCCTTTTTCTTTCTTTTTTTTTTTTTTTTTTTTGATGTTTCTGATCAGATTGCTCTTGCTCTTCCCACTCCTGTCTTGAACACCCCATTCTTTTTTCAGCTCTAAATTTGTTTTTCTTAAGAGGTCCATTCATTCTTGTTTTCATGTTTTTTTTTATTGATGTATATGAATTGTAAAAAAAAAATTAGTGAATTTCATTGTGACACTTTCATGCGTGAACAGGAAGCATTTTGATCATGTTCACCCTACCCTCCCTTCATCTCCCATCCCTTTCCTCTTCTTCTAGAGCCTTCCATCTGCCTTCAAATATTTTATGTTTTCTTTCAGATGCAGCAACTAGGGGGAAAAAAAGACAACCTTAAAAGTTTAAAGTCCTGCCTTTCATGAGCTCATCCACTTGTGGGGTTTCAGGGTTCTGCACAGGATTTCTAAGCTTTTTTCGAGTCTTTTTTGAGCCCCAGATTCTTCTATCTGATATTTCTTGGACCAAAGCTTAAACCTTAACAAGTAGTTTGACTTTGGCATGACTGATATAAATATAAGACTTTCTATCATAGAAGACACACTCCCTCCCTGTACCCCATTCTAAGTATACTTAGAAAGTGTCAAAAGTACCTGCCATTCCCAGCCCAGCCCAGTCTGTCCCTTCTAAACTTAGTCCCTCCCTGCTATCTCTGTCTTTACCACTTCTGGTCTATACCTAGATCACCTGCTCCCTTAGTCTCCCCCAACCTTCCAGGCAATCTCCCTCTGGAAACCCAGATTACTCCTGAATTAACCTGACTACTCCTCTTCTCTACTTCCAGCCCCTCAGTGAGGGTTTCTGGCACTTTCAGAACATTCTAGAACTCTTTTGCAAGATGCACAGAGTCCTGGCTGCTTCTCCAACTTGGCAATCTTTGTTTTTCTCACCTTGGACTCTCATTTCGCTGTGCACACTGTGTACAACCAATTTTATATACCTTCACACATATCTGCTTCTCCAACTTGGCAATCTTTGTTTTTCTCACCTTGGACTCTCATTTTGCTGATATGTATTCGCTGTGCACACTGTGTACAACCAATTTTATATACCTTCACACATGTTGCTGCATGTTCTAGGGACTTAGGTAGTGCAAGCTAGGCTCGTTCTTACTCACATGTTGGCTCTGGGAAGAGAGCCTCCTTCCTGCAGAGTGATTCCTTGTGATCTGCTCTTGGCACCTGCCCGCCGGCTTCTGATATACTTGCAGGCTTCTCACACCCACCGCTCATCTTCCTCGCTGTGTCTCCTTCTCCTTCACTGTATTGTAGCTGACTCTTATCTCTGCCCAGGGTACGCCATTTGTTGCGGCTGAGGTTCCCAGCGGGAAACCTTTGCCTTTATGTCCTCAGCTTCTTGGTATGGCTGCATTTGGTTGTCAATTTCTCCACGTTTGTTAAGTGAAAGGAACAAATCAATGAATTAATCAGCAACCTCAAAATTAAATGGTACTGGCAAGAAGAGATAATACATTAGTATAAATTAAGCATCTTTGATGCAAATGTGAATTGCAATGCCATCACCGGTACCCGCCAACTTTCTATATGAAGTACAGAACATGCGGGTGAGTTCCTCCTCACAAAAAGAAGGGTTCAGGTAAATGAGCTCCGTGTCCAGCAGTGTGATTATGTTCTGGTGCAACAAGAGCCACTGTCCCTTTCCTAAAACATCATGTGCTCCTGTGTACCAATATCTGTGTAAACACTTGCGACACAACGTCCAAGTGATTTCCGTTATGACAGAGATCAGATATGGATGAGGTGACTTTTAACCATTGTGTTTGACTCGGAGCCAAGCCGTAATGCAGTATGTTTATCCTAACAGGTATTTGAACCAGGGCATCGGGGAAGATGTATCCACAGTCCAGCGTTCTCTGAACAGGGAGAAATTCATAGTTCTGAAACAAGCTCTGAGTGTAATTGGCTTCAGCAACTTGGTGAGTGACATCATCAGTGTTTCACTGAGAAAACCAGCCTTGCACCATTTATACGAAGCTACTCATTCAAAACTAATTCCTGAGGCCCAGTGTAACCCGTGGATTGTGGACAATCCTGGTGATGATTTGCCAGACAGCAGGCTTCCAGTCCTGCCTCCCGGAGCTTACTGTCCAGTAGGGAGAGAGGGCATCAAACCAGATGGAATGATAACAGGAACCAGAAACCCAGAGATGCTCAGTAAATGCACAGTAAGAAGAGCATAGTTTGGTTATCAATAGCAGTGGAAAAGCCCATTCATACATTTATCCCAAACAGACCAGATGACTGCACTAATCCACCCTGAAGAACACAGACAGTCTGAAGTAATTGTGTACTGTTAAAGAATCACTTTGGACATCTCTGTCTGTCTCCCCCTCCCTGTTTGCACTGGCACCTGTGATGTTAGTCCTCATTTTCCAACCCCTCCCTGCCTAGAATATCCCTGCCTAGACCTTCTAAAATTGGATAGGAAACAGGAGCACAGACAGGGACAGGAGACCATTTTACCAGCATACCAGTTACTTGGAAATAGGTCTTTGAAATTCCACAACTGATCCTTAAAGGTAAGGTCAGCAAAATTCACCTGCTGGCTGAGGTGTCTGATAGAAAATCTAATAACCTTTTTGATAAAAAGACTCATGTATATTTTAATAAAAGACTTGGAAACTGTCCCTTCATTTTGAGCCTTTAAAGTTACTTGAAGAGTAAAAATCATTCCACTTAAGTGAGATCTTATGTCTCTTACGATTTAAAGGAAGGTGTTTTCTGGCTTGTGAGCCCCTTGTATTAATCTATGCAAGTAATGGGACTGGAGAGATGGCTTAGTGGTTAAGAGCACTGACTGCTCTTGCAGAGGACCTGGGTTCAATTTTTTAGTGTCCACATGGCAGCTAACAACCGTCTGTAACTCCAGTTCCAGGGGATCCAATGTCCCCTTCTGACCTCCATGGGCATTGCAGGACACAGGTACACCTACCTACATGCAAGCATTACACTCATACACATAAAACAAAACTAATAAAGTATTAAAAAGTATACAAGTAATTATGGTTCTGGGAGACTTGTCCACCCAGATGCCCCCATGGCTGTCCTCCATTGCCAACAATAGACAGGCTAGTGAGGCAGCAGGGCACTGCTGCCCACTGTAGACAGAGGCAGGATCCCAGTTTCCTGACCCCCACAGGGGGCATTTTTCTCTGATTAGAATTCACCATATTGCAACGTGTCATAGTTGATTTTCACAATTCATTCTCTCTCACTTAATCATAAGATCCTTCAGGGGAGCACAAAGCCTTCTTGCCTGTTTTTCCAGAGATGCTCGCCATTCAGATACAAGACCATTTGGAGAGTTATGCACATTATTAAAAATGGGGAGATGTGTTATGTAATTTAAGAAGATGGGAAAATGCTGTTCTATAAAGCAAGACTGAATTCTTTAGGAGACACCGATGCATGCTGTAAGGACTAGCAGAGGCATCTTTTAGCAGTGCCGTAATTGCAGAATGGTACACCTAGGAATTACTTGAGATTGATATCTCCAGGCTCTCTCTTTAAAGATGATAAAATTATAATACTGTATGAGGAAAATAAGGTGTTCTGGAGAGATTTAAGGGAGCCCCACAAACTACGAGAGGCTTCGCATATTTATAGATCCTGCAGTGTGTTTTCAGAGCACCTACCACTTAGGTGTGGCAGGCACTTAATGCCCAAATTACAAATTAGAGAGTTTAAAAGGTTGGGTTACCTGCTCTCCAGGTGTTTCGCAGTTGGCAGCATGAGGCTGAACATTTGGCATGCTGTAGAATCATCTTCATCTAACAGCTGATTCTCTTTAAAAAATTTTTTTTGATTTATTTATTTTTATTTTATGGGTAATGGTGTTTTGCCTGCATGTCTGTAAGTGTACCCATGCATGCAATGTTCATGGTGGCCAGTAGAGAGCATCAGACCTCCTGGATCAGGAGTTACAGACAGTTGTTAGCCACTATGTGGGTGCTGGGAACCCAACCTGAGTTCTCGAGTAGCCATTCCTCTTAACCACAGAGCCACCTCTCCAGCCCCAGCAGCTGATTCTTGACTTTTTATTCTTACCATAAAACCACTGCCCCAAACCGGCCTTTGAGTGTTCTTTCTCCTTCCTGCAGCTCCAGGTTTCAAAACCACCTTCTACCTCCTGTAGCTTGTGTGCAAGGAGAACTCTGGCCAACAGGGCTTGTGCCTGACTTTGAAAGGCAGTTAGCCAATTAGCACTCCTCCAGTATCCTTGTCATCCTTACGTCAGAGGGGCCATATCTGTGATCCTCATCAATTTATCTCAAGAGAGAGCAGCCTGGGGAATTAGGGAATTGACTCCCTTATGTAGGCTCTTGAATGAAGCAGCCATTGCAGTCTATCTGCCCCACCTCTCTCTCTCTACAGCCCACAGTCAGAAGTTAAGTCTGAAGTCGAAAGAGACCGCTGGCTAGTTAGAGCTTAGAATATAATCACTCATTTTATTTATTTATTTATTTATTTGGCATGATGATGGCTATCTAGAAGTCACTGATTCATATCAGAATAGCATTTCCTTCCTCTTAGATCTAAGGAACAGCATCAATTTATGAGAAATGCACATTGAGCTGAGAATTCATTCTAAAGTTGACACTGGCAGTTTTGTGGAGAACTGTGGATCAGAAAAGTTATAAACCCACCCAAAGAATATACATCATGCTTGTACTTTTAGGCTTTCAAAGATCTCTTCGCATCCTTTTCTGAGCAACTATATTTGTTCTCTGTGCACACATAGGAGGTGGAGAATCTCTTCGTTATTCTAGCAGCAATATTATACATTGGAGATATCGAGTTCACCGCGCTGACGGAGGCTGACTCTGCCTTTGTCTCTGACCTCCAGCTCCTGGAACAAGGTCAGTAAAAATCCACCTGGACAGAAACCTCTTTGCTGTGCAGTTTCATAAACGTGCCAGTAGATGGAGACACAGTACAAAACGCCACAGCTTCCTGTGCATGAAGTAGTGGGGGAGGGGAGGACCACGCAGTTCCAAAGGGTTCAGGGAGTCATCAGCAAGATGCACTTTCATGCTGTCATTCTGCACACCATACTGACAACATTGGTTTAGAAACATATACTATATTTCATGTGATACTTGCTAAGCACACGCAGTTTGAAAAATACCTTTAAACCACGGATGTCAACGAGCACCTTATTTTTACCGGTGTCAAAGTGACTTTCATAAGGAATTTGGAAAATATAAGCTAGTGTCATCTATGAGGGCAGTGAAGGGAGGAAAAAAAACCTGTTATGGTTTAATTCAGAGAGCTGCAAGATCTTGTTTAAATATTTGAAGATTCAAGATGTTTCTCTAGATGAATTTAACCAGGAGGGTAGAAGTTACTTTCCCTTAAGTGTGTTGTGTGCGTGTTCTAATGTGTCTGTAGGAAACTTATACACAATAAATATATAATGCAATGCTCTTGATTTCAAAAGTGCACAGTCACTTTACATTTACAGCCTGTTTTAATTTCAGTGGCTGGTATGTTGCAAGTATCCACAGATGAGCTGGCATCCGCCTTAACAACTGATATTCAGTATTTTAAAGGTAAATCTTTCTACCTGATTTCCACCTTTCTACAACTCCTGATCTTCTTCCAAATAGGGAAATTAAATGCAACCTTGCCCATCTCCACATGGGGAAACTGTTTGTATAGATTGAGTGCCAAAGGAAAAAGCCTTTATGAGCCATCGTGGTCCTCGGTTGACTGTAGGGAACTCTTCCATGCTCCTGGGAGATCATTCTGATTAACTGACCACTCTTCCTAACTAACCTGTCAGTTTAGAAAAACAAAGCCATCAATCTAAGAGGATTTATTCCCATAAACTGTGGACCTTCAGTGTGGGGGGCCAACCTTCTCCCTCTGCCTAGTCGCTCATAATCAGGTCTGTCATTTATTGGACATTTATGAGCAGATGGCATTGTGCCAAGTGCTCTGATGTTGTCATTTTTGATCTTACAGAAGGTCAAGAGGTGGGCATAGCTGTTTCCTTTTAAGAGAGGAGAATGCTCAGATTTAGAAAAGTCCATCATTGTGAATGCCAGACCACTGGTACTTCACATGTCTAACATGTAACAGTGTAGCTCCCAACCCTCAGGTTGGGACGCTTACTGACTGTGCTGTGTGTCCTGCGCAGTGCGGACGATGGGTTCTCACAGGTGTGTCCTAGTTATTTCTCACTGTAGCTGTGAGGACTGGCCTCTCTGGGTCCATGTTCCAGAAGTCCTCACTGATTTGATCTGCTACCCTATGGGTCTAATTTTGGGGAGTCATGATCTATACCTCATGCCTACTCAGAATTCCCTTCCCGTACTACTGAACTCACTATATTTTCCCATTCTCACCTGGTACTCTAGGCACCTCTGATCCCTCTTCCTTCTGCATTGAGTAAGTCAGACACCTGCCAGTTTGATACAGAAGTGGCTCTCTTCCTCACTACATTTTCGGTTTCTTTTCCTGAGTCACAGCAGGAGCCTCCTCCGTTAATGTTTTTATCTGGGTTTTCTCATTTCCCCCTCTACCCATAGGAACAATCGATATAAAATACAAATGTACGTTTTATCTGTGGATAACAATCTTTCAAATACAGCATCCTCTTGCTCCTAATACCTGCTCAGTCTGAGACTGGGTGATAGCCATGTTGCCGAAGGCCACAATGTGAATTCTAGAATAATATAAATATTTCTACTGGAGGGCCAAGCTCATCCCCAACCTCCACAAAAATTGTATTTTGGTTGATTTGACCATTACTTTCTAGATGGGCAGGTATCCAAATGCCCTGGACTAGCTCAGTCTTCAAACCAGGGCATTGCTATCAGAAGCTTACTGAAAGAACTTGAGAAGGGCCGATTCTCTGAGAGGAACTTACACAGCTACCAAAAGGTGCACAGCTGGAGTCAAGGCAACTGTCACTCTCTTTAGGCAGACATTTTATGTAATAATAACTGACAGGCATTTTCAGTGTTAACATTTTTGGGGTCAATGTAAATGCTGCTGAGAATAAATAGAATGTGCAAAGTTTTGTTAACTTCTAAATGAGGGAATTCCTTGTCCTTATGCCTCCTCTTCTTCCTACTATTTTAGGAGACGTGATAATACGTCGACACACTGTACATATTGCTGCATTTTACCGAGATCTCTTGGCCAAGTCACTGTACAGTCGTTTGTTTGGCTTTCTGGTGAATACCATGAATGGTTGCCTCCAGAGTCAAGATGAGTTTAAAAGGTAGGAGTCCTGGATGTTGATCCTGTATTACCTTACTATACACAGCTCAGGGGCTGTGGACCCTGGCCCCTGGGTGACCTTGTCACACACAACTCGGGGGCTATGGACACTGGCTCCTATGTTATCCTGTTATACATAACTTCTGGGATATGGGTATTGGCCCCTGCATTACTCTGCCACACACAACTCAGGATCTGTGGATACTGGTTCCTGTGTTACCCTGTTATACAAAGCTCAGGAACTATGGACACTCGCCCCTGTGTTATCCTGCATACACAACTCAAGGCCTCAGCTCTTAAAGGTACTTCATATTCCAGCATGGCCCATGAGGCAGGCTTCATTCAAATATCCCATTTTAACAAAGTGATTTTTCTGGAAGGGTATTAGTAATTATGCTTTAGAGCTATAAGCCCCCACCCCACCTTCCCACCACCCACAATGATGGATGAATCAAACCTTTCATGTATAGATATGCAAATGTGTTCTCTCTGGAATGAAGGTATGCATGTGGTCTTTTGTGCTCGAGAAGAATAGAAATTTTATGAATTTAGGAAGAAGATAGTCTAAGAATGTCAAGAATGTCTGAAACTCAGGAATTGGTTGAGAAGCCCATGTATGTCTCTTTCAGAACCACTTTGATGATGTGTATAATTTTTCCTTGCGATTCCTTACTTATTTCGTGGGTATTTGACAAAGGGTCTCTGTGGTAATCATCTTGGCTCATACCCTTAATCATCTCTAAGAAGTAGCTTTTCAGAGCTATTTGATCACCTAAAAATTACAGATTTCCATGGACTCTTGTCAATGGGAAGCTGTGTTATTATTCTTGTCACTGATAATGACCCTGAACAGACATTTGAAAGCAAAATTGCATCCAGCAGTCTCCACACACAAGCTTGTCTTTGAATGAAACTTCTGAGAATTTCTTTGTTGTCCTGGAGTTCTTTATTAAATTCTTAGACTTACCACCTTACTGGTTTCTTGGAAAACATTAAAGCTAGCATGTATGAATGGGAAAGTTCTGAAATAAATATAGGCATTTCTGATTTCAAGTACCAAGGGATAGTAAAGTCTGTAAAATGTACATGTCTAAATCTCAGTGCAAAGCAGTCGAGTTGGGCAACCTGTCTGGGATTTGGGCAGCTAGAGAATAATCTGAATTTAGAAGAAATGCCTGCTGGGATCTGATGCACTCTTCTGACCTCTGTGGGCATTCCAGGCATTGCACAACATGGGTGCACTTACATTCATGCAGGCAGAATAAAACACACTTAAAATAAAATTTAAAAAATAAAAATGAAATGTTTAAAAAAAAAGAAAGGGAGGAAGGATTTTTTTCTGCTCTGTGGTTCTGGGGAGCCAAATCCAACAAGGCAAGGAGGCCATGGCAGTGGGAGGGACTTGGCCCCAGACAATTTGCTCACAAATCAGTGGACCGGGAAGCAGAGAGAGAGATGGAATGCCTGGGGTCAACTGGCTCTTCCCTTTTTCCTGTTTTAATCAGTCCAGAACCCCAGCCCATGAGCTGGTACTGACCACATTCAGGGTCCTCTCCCCTCAGTTCTTTCTCTTTGAAAATTCCTTCATAGAAACACAAAAAACTGTACCTGACTAAAGCCCACGGCATTTCCTAACCCTATGATGTTGACAATAGAGATGAACTGTCACATCTTCTAAGTTATTCACAGACTGATATTAGCATGCTAAATCTACCAAATTAACCTCCAAGAAAATTATTAGCAGCCTTGCTCACATTGATAGCGATCAGTTAATATTTTATTAATACATAAATCCTGGGACACATAGAAACTTCTAGACAATTTCCACTTGACGTTTAAATCCTAGGAGCCTTGAGTTTGTATCATTGGAAGCATTTGGATATGTTAAAGAGAGTAAAGCTGGCTTCCTTTCTCATGGATATTTTACCTACTGTGTCAGAATGGAAAAGTAGATGGCAGTCATTCCTCTTACAGTTCTTCCCAAGCAACTGAATAAGGCAGGGATTCTTGGGGAATGAGATTTGAATTGATAGATTTTATGCTTCACTTAACTAACGGGGCATAGCCTCCTTTGAATCACAACTACTGCTTTTCCTTCCCTGTGTTCCCATAGATCACCCAGTCTCAGATTGAAATCCCCAACTAATGCAAGGAAAGGTTGTATTTGCATTTTTTCTAACTCTTAGAAATTCACGGAATGCTTAAGGTTTTAAAGATAAGTTTTCTGTATCACAGAAAGCTCTCAAAAATTGGGATAACCTTACAACAGACTTTTGGTGTTTATCCCCGCCCTTCGCTTTTTTGAAAATTATGTGCGTGTGTGTGTGTGTGTGTGTGTGTGTGTGTGTGCACGCCCGCACATATGGAAAGATGACAATTTTAAAACAGCGATTTTTTTTTCTCCTAGATAAAGTTAGCACATGCATTGAAATTGATAGAGTGGACAGACAGATTTCTCTACTATGTTTTTTTTTGTAAAGTTTTCAAGAGAGAATAGATGTCAATCAGCTTTGAATAGCACTCAGGAGATCAAAGTAGTTGAAATGGCTTTTCTTGGAGGAACCAGTTAATTTCCTAGGTTAAAGTAAAATGGGTATAATACTAAAAAACTGTTCTGCTTTTTCTTCATCAATTCCATCTAGATGTGGGCATTAGCTAGGTGACTCTTGATGACTAGTTAACTAAGATGAGCACGTCTGCATGTCTGCCTAACTAAGCCAGTGTTGAAGATTAACGTGTATTACATGGGCTGTTTTCTGCTGTGACTGACATCTGTGTGGCTCTCTTCCTAGATGCTTCCAGGTGGGGTCAAGTCAGGTGCAAAGCTAAGCATGCTAAAACTATTTATTAGACTTAGTTCAAAGTGATTTGCTCCAAGTAGGTATAAAGATATAATAATAGTAATAAGAATATGTGAATATTTACAACAACCATGCTTTTTATTTGTTTACAACTTTATTGTTCTCCAAGTTCATTACTTTCTGGGGAAATCCTGTTAAATAGCTAAAAATTGTACCTTTTATTGTGGAAGACCTGATACCTGAGAAAATGAAGCAGCAGGTGAAGCGACTCCCTCAGCATCCCTTCCAAAGGTCTTACCTTGGAGAAACCCATTTTCAAAGAAGGATCTTCAGATATCTAGTGCTTTCTAGAAACACTGTTTTTGTTAGGCTATAATTTCTTGACTCTGAAAGGAGCTTGTGTAGATTATAGACTCACTAACAAAGCCTATGGTAATGCACAGTTCACTTTTCTCACCTCCTCTTAGTCCTCCAGCCTGTTGACAAGACTCTCAGATCCTCTGTAGCTCTCTGTGCCTCCCTCTTACCATATGTTCCCCCATCCCCTCCAGTCCACTGTTGGTACCACCTCCACAGATACACAGGAGTTCAAATAGCCCCCATTTTCATCTCTGAACCTTAATCAATGAATAAATCACACCATGGACTAATGCAGAGGCAGTCAAATTAGCAATCCATATATTAGAAGTCAAAGATTTTTGCTCATGCATCACGTCCCTGGGCCTTGACACAGGCAGAGCCCGTGTGGTTCTGAGAGAGCAGATGTGGCCAGCACATGCTTTCAGAGAGCCCAAGAAAGAAGAGCCGTGGGCTCTTGTTGCCCACATCCCTTCTTAGCCTCTAATGGGAAACAGTAGTGATGCAGAGGCTAAGAGGGGGCTTATGGAACAGAGCTGCTGCTTTACAGAAGGAAGCACAGGACTCTAGGGCACCTGCAGAAGATGTGTGGGTGTGTCACTTAGAGCGCTTGGGCCTAGAAGACAAGGGCCCAGCTGATGCAGAAGACATGTAGACTGGGGCTCCTGGGAGGGATTTTAATCTTCATTTCTCTGTGTTGAACACATAGAGCCAAACCTGGATGACCACCCAGGAGATCAGGGTCTCTTGTACACTGAGTTCACAGGTTCAGTAGAGAAATATCTGCATCACCCCTGCTCCAATCTGCTCTAGTCTGTTTCAATTGCTAAAATACAAACAGCCTGGCAAAAAGCAATGAAGGAAAGGAAAGGGTTTCTTTAACTTATAATTTCAAGTTACAGTCCATCATTTTGAGGAAGTTAAGGCAGGAATTCAAGCAACTGGTGACATTATATCCCCAGTCAACAGTTAAGAGAAGAATATCATTCTTGCTTGCCTATTTGCTTAGCACTTAGCTAACCCTCTCTGTGCTTACAGAGTCCAGGGCCCCAAACCTGGGAATGGTACCTCCCGTAATGGCTGTGTCTTCCTATATCAGTTAATATTCAAGACAATCCCCCACAAACATGCCCACAGGCCCACCTGATCCAGAAAATTCCTCAACCAAGCATCCCTTCTCAGGTGATTCTAAGTTGTGGCAAGGGTGACATTTAAAACTAGCCAACACAGCATCTGAGCAGGGTGTCCCCCAGCCTGTGATAACAGATGCAAGTGAAGAGCTGTGGAATGGCCAGCCCATATTCCTGTTGGTCTGAATAGGTTTTATTGCAGGGTTCAACCACTGTGCTGTAGAAAACTGTCTTAATAACAAACCCTTGTACCTGGGGTGGTACCGCATGCCTGTCATCTCAGCACTTAGGAGGCAGAAGCAGAAAAAATGCAAATCTTAGGCCAGCTAGGAATCTAAAAGGAAATACTGTCTCAAAGCAACAACAACAATGAAAAGAAACAGCGAGCTGGAGAAGAGTCGAAAGATTCTTCTCCACCCCGCTCTTCTACCGTGATTCATTTTGCCTCTTCCTTGGAGAAATCTCTTCCACTGTGGTGCTGGTTGACTGTTCTAATGTGACATTCAAAAGGCAAGGGCTCACTGTTAGGATTTACTGTGCTTTTACCTAATAAAATTGTAAATATTTGAGAAATAGCTACAGAGACACATTAACATTTTCAGTGATCTGGAGAGTGTGTTATGGGCAATGTTGTGGTAGTTGCAGACTGCTGTGTGATCATTATATCAATATCACACATAGAATTGCTCACAGCATTTTCAATATGTAGTTGC